GACAAGACAAATTAAGGGAGGGAAATGGAGACCGCAAAACGAATGCAAACCATTAGAAAGAGGAATAGATACAAAGAAGAAGAATGAAGCAAAAGGAATTTAAGAACGGCGAATGAGGCCGATGCAATTGCTTCCTCGCATCGAGCTCAAGAGAGAACGAGCAGATAAAGTGCAAAAGAACAAATGGGATGATGGCAGCTCAGCTCAGCACTTTTCCGCGTGCCTGAATTGGGGAACTTGGGGAAGGGACCCGCCACCAATCGGGGTCCTCCAATTGGACACGGACAGATTTACGGCGGGCCACAGGGTCCTCGGGTGCAGTCCCTTACTTTATTTGGTGGTATACAAGACACATAAGGAGTTGGATTTACTTATGTAGTTATTGTGCGCGAGTTGACTCAATGTCTTCTGCCACTGAGAACCATCATCTTCTGATCTTATAGCCGGATAAATACCATCACATTCCCGCCAAATCGGATAGTATTGGAAAAGTATAACATAAGAAAAAGCATGGAATCGCTCCAGAAGCGCCCTAACGCAGTGTCCCGGCGTCTGCTATGCGATAAGGGATATCTCCAAAAGACTCAACCCAGGTAATCAAAATTCTCAAAAAAGAAAGCCCAATCACAATGACAGTATAGATAAAATAATGGATTTGCACACGAGTGACCCGCCAAGCGATCAGATGGCAGCAGTACTCCGCCGCTTGGTCAGCGCATCGATCACTCTGGTATAGAACTTCGATGCTTGTTGGCGAACAAATGTAATGTCGACAGTCAAGTACTCGGGAAGAACATCAACCAGCTCACGGTCTCTGTTCTCATCCAGCAGTGGGATATATTGAAACTCGGCAGATTCAAAGTTGGCCGACGATACGTGGGGCACAACCAGCTTGAAATGAAGGGCTGTACTCTGTTAGAAACCTGTATCAAGCCATCAGGAGGCATGGTCAACTTACTTCCATTGCTACCAGTCTGAATACAATCATACAAATTGTCAGACGGTCGCTTCTTAACATCACGAATTATTAGGCCTGTGAGATCAGTGTACAAATCTTCCTTGAGCTGCGCAAATTGAGCTGCCTGCGCGGCTTCAGCAGTGACCGCAGCAGCATTCGCACGATTGGCACCGCTCTTGATTGCACTTCCAGGCATCTTGATGGCTGCATTCTCAAGGCTCGCAGCCGTGTTACGAGCCGCCGCAAGCTTGGTTTGCAAAGCCTTAACCTCAGTCTGTGCCGAGGAGAGCTGACTCGTCGCCTCCTCAGCTTGCGACTTCAACTGCGCTACTTCGGCATCCCGTTCCTTGAGCTGTCGTTGGAGCGACCGACTTTGCTGACCAAGTGCCTTCTGGGCCTCTAACTCTGCCTTCAATGATGCTATCAGGTTGTTCGAAGCTAGCAGCTATCAGCATATACGATGCCACGAAGTAATGCTGCAACACTCACCGTTGGTCATCGACTCGCACTGTTTTCGTAGTTTTTCCATGTTCGAGTTCGCTTCAACAATGCCAATCTCTTTAAGATTCCGATAGCGATTCTCAAGAGTATCGCATTTCTTCGTCAATTCACCAATCCGACGACGCAACTCGGGCTCCACATTGGCCTCGGCCGTTCCTCCTAGCCTTGACTTTGAGGGAGAGCTGTAGATGCCTCTCTGGGATTGTCGTTTTGTGGGGGAGCGTGACACGGACCGGGCTTCTATCGGCGCATCTTGAAGCAGAGTCTCGTCCACGACATCCGGGGCAGTGCTTTCATTATCTTGTGCGTCTTTGTTCTCCTCCACTTCGGGTTTCCGTTTTTGTCTCTTCGGTGGTTCTGGTCTGTCTTCAGGTTTGTCCAGCGATTTGCGTTGTCGGCCAGTTGATGGAGTGTACTCGAATCCACCATCTGTCTGAACTGAGTTCCTTGTAGCGGCATTTTTCCGGCCACGCGGGGCAGCTCTCGTAGACTTGGTGGTCCTTGCTGGCTTTGCAACTTCTTGTGCATCGTCTGCTTCATCATTCGAGGCAGCAGTGCCTTCCGCCTCCTGATCGCCTGCTTCGTGTTCTGACTCCCTGACCTCAGCCTGCTCTTCCGATGTGTCTTGTGTTGCTTGAACCGAGTTTCTGCTGCCCTTGGGTCTGCCCCTGCGGCCGCTCTTTCTCGTAGGTGCCTCCGACGCTTGCGGGGGTGCTGTACTGGAATCGCGCCCAGCTTGCGTTAGGGGCTTCATCTCTGCAGATTTCGATCGAGGCCTTCCTCTCTGCTTCTTGGTAGGGCGTTCCCTTCCCGAGTCATTAGCTTGGATAGGATCCTCATCGCCGGCTGAATTGGATAGCGCAGCAGCGGCCTTTCGTTTGGGCATTGTGAGAACAGTATATATGGGCTATATAGAGTGATAAGATAAATTGAATATAAAAAGACGGCGTGACGTGAATTGTGGGGTGAATGGACGCGACGAGGGTCACACTGAGCTCCGCGTGCGCGCGAGCTCCTCCGCCGCCCGACCGCAAACAACAACACTGTGGCAGTGAAGCATGTGACGGCGTCGGCAAAGCCACGTCTCCGACCGCTCGGCGCCACACCTGCGCTCGCTGTCGCCGACGGCCGTCCGACCCCCATCGCATGCATCGTTACAGCTTTAATCGATAATCTGCCGCTGCTGGACTCGGGGCATTCACTAACAGACGATAGCGTTGCGGATATATATATTAGATCTTGGAGCATCTTAGTGATCGGACATTTGCTCCGCTATCCTGTCGTCATGGCTTCAGCGCGCGGTCCCCGATGGCAGCAGTTCTTGCAGGAATTGGTGATGGTTGCGGGCACCGTGAGTCCAAATGCTCTGGCAGATTCGTTTTACGACTAACTCGTCATCGCTATCAGTCGGCGTCTGCATACTTCCTCATCCGATATCTCCTATCCCGCCTTGACTTCGACCCGGAGTCTCAAAAGAAAGAAGAACAAAAACGCAAGTCGGCCGCCATCCTACGGAAGCTTGATGGAGGAGACGAGTCAGATGAGGACTCACCGCGTCGCGGAGGAAAAGGCGGACGCCGGCCAAAGAGAGGGGATCTTGTCCTCAACCAATACGAACAGGCTATTGCTATGGACGTAGTCGCTCCAGATGATATTCCTGTATCATTCGAAGACATAGGAGGTTTGGACGATATCATCGAAGAGTTGAAGGAGTCTGTCATCTACCCTCTCACAATGCCCCATCTCTACGCTTCGACATCATCGCTTCTTACTGCCCCATCTGGCGTCCTTCTATACGGGCCGCCTGGATGCGGAAAGACCATGCTTGCGAAGGCGCTCGCTCATGAGAGCGGGGCATGTTTCATTAATCTACACATCTCTACTCTGACTGAGAAGTGGTACGGCGATTCCAACAAGCTGGTAAATGCCGTGTTCTCGCTTGCCAGGAAGTTGCAGCCCTCGATCGTTTTCATCGATGAGATTGATGCCGTGCTGGGCACTCGACGAAGCGGAGAGCACGAGGCCAGCGGTATGGTCAAGGCCGAGTTCATGACTCACTGGGACGGTCTTACTTCGGCGAACTCGATGGGCGAGCCGCAGCGAGTGGTTGTCCTCGGTGCCACTAATCGCATAGGCGATATTGACGAGGCCATCCTCCGGCGGATGCCTAAGAAGTTTCCTGTCGCTCTACCCCCTGCAGCACAACGGCTTCGAATCCTCAGCCTGGTTCTGAAAGATACCAAGGTTGATCGGGATAACTTTGACCTCGATTATCTGGTCAAGGGCATGGCGGGTATGTCGGGTAGTGATATCAAGGAGGCTTGCCGGGATGCAGCCATGGTGCCGGTGCGCGAACTCATTCGCCAGAAAAAGGCGGCTGGACAACAAATGACGGCCGTTGATCCCAAAGAGGTCCGGGGTCTGCGTACAGAAGACTTCTTCTCGCGCGCCGGGGGTGTCCGGGTTATTCCCCCAGCTGCCCAGCTGGCGAACAAAGCCAACTCGGAGAAGGAGTGGAGTACTGAGTCGGAGGCAGCGTCCGAAGCTGAAGCACGAACACCCGCGGAGATGGCGGAACCTCCCGAGTAGTTGCTATCAGCTTTCTTTCCAATAAGTATTGTATGGCTTTGCAGATTATCACACGTCCCTTTTGACTCAGTACTGCGTAAAGGGCAAGGCGTTGGGATTCTTGTTTGCTTTCTTTTTTTTTCATTGTGGATATACTATCGGGATTTAATGGCTGTGATTTGTATGTGGCTTACGTCCTCATTGGGGATGTAGAGAGTCGATATACCCGCTGATGAGATCAGGATTATGAATTTCACCATCCAGCCTGTTAGTACTGTATAAAGTAGATAGAATCCAATTCGTAACCAACCAGCAAGATCATGAACTGGGTCTACGTGGCCAGTTAAATAAGCCAAGTTTCAAGGCAACGCTGCCGATCCGTGGAGGTGGTAATGCCATACGGTAACTGTACATACTGTGTACTCTGGGCGTATCGGGACGCCACCGGCCGACGTCAAGAAGAAACAAATTACGGCCCTCAGCGATGGACTTCAGGGCACCGCTTCAGCTGGGAAGGCATCTTGCCGATCAAAACCCATTGCCCACCAATTTCTTCTTCTTCTTTTCAATTGCTGCAGTTGCCCGCTGAATTATCCGCAAGCACCGAAAATCCCCGGTTGCTTTCTTTCATCTTGTTCCGACCGGAGCATGAGACAGCCACCCCGCCCTGCCGACGTCTGATCTGCCGACTTGAGTCGTCATCACAGGAGGCTAAACTCCATACTTCTTCCTCTTCCTTATCCCGCGCCTCCTCCCACACATCCTCCTCACCCACCCCCAACCTCCCCCCCAAACCCGCCTCAGTTCGTGGTCATCCATCCCCTGGGTTCAAAGTTGGATAATCCTGCGGCTGGAATACTTCCCCGGTTCATCTACTCGAAACACTGGTGATCTCGCCGTTCCCTAGATCCCCGTGCTAGCTCCGAGCTTCAGGACACGGATGCGATAACTACAGCGCCCGGATGACGAATGGTCTGTCGTAGAGACCTCCGATGGCAAATTGTGCCTGGGCGATCTCACACACAACACTGAGCTTCTGCCGGTGACCTGACGACTCCCGCCCCTCCTTAAATCTATCTTATCGCCCCCCTTAGTCGCCAGGGATGAGTTCCAACGGCGGCTTTGCCGACCTCTTCAGCCTTGGGACCGCGAGCACGACAAATACCGGCCGAAGATCCACCTCTACCATTCGATCGCGCAACCGCCGTCTGATCTCATTCACAGAGGATGATGTCGACGAGAATGGCAAACAAATGCAGTCCTCCGGGTTGTCGTCGATGCTATCCCCCGATAACTCCGCTGTTCGCTCCCGCGGTGCTACACCATCGCCTAACCCGTCCCGCGGAGTGTCCCCCATACCCATGAGACATCCCTCTCGAGCAACGGAAGCGGCCAACCGTAGCAAGGGAAATAGCTCCTTAGGTGGGTTCTGCCGTGAGGAGGAAAGTGGAATGATGTTTGCTGAGTCGTCGCGAGCCGCTGTAGACTTCTTTGATGCATCATGGACCTCGCTTCAAAGTCTAGCCTCGTCGGTACTAGGGAGCGATATTGCACGACCGGCCACCACCAACGGAAGTACTAGGACGCATGTGAGGAAGCCCTCCCGTCCAGATCCTTATATGAGGCCCCCTGCACGAACGTCGACACCAGCAACCTGGGGTCCCTCTGCCCCATCTACGCCGGAAATTGGAAGCGGAACCCAGGAAGAGAGACAGGCACTAGTGCAGGCAAAGAAAAGGGAAGCCCTTTTATTAGCAGACACTGGCCCGGCTTGGAGTACAACCCCGCGACACAAACGGCGGGATTCCAGCGATCGGACGGGTCATTCGAATATTGATCCTGACCTCGACGAGGATGCCTTAGCTTATATACATCATGTACAGTCCACAGATACCATCACCGGTGTTACGATACGATATGGGTGCCAGCCCGCGGTATTCCGCAAGGCCAACGGCTTCTGGCCTAGCGATAGCATTCAAGGCCGAAAAACCGTTCTTCTGCCCGTTGATTCGTGCTCGGTCAAAGGACGGCCCATCCGACCTAGAATGGGAGAGGACCTTCTAAAAGATGGTCGCCAGGAAGGCGAGTCTTTGGAGGATATGAACGGCAGCTCAATAGCACCCACTCCATCGTCTACGTCTGTCGAGGGTGGAACATCTGCGTCTCCTGCGGCAGAGATTGAAGGTGACCGAATATGGAGGCACGAGTCGTGGGTACACATCGAGGGCTTTCCTGCGCCGGTTGAAATTGGCCGCGTCCCCCGCAGAGCATTGGGATTCTTCCCACGAACGCGGCGGAAATCGGTTTCGTATTCGGACTCGGTGTCGTCTCCATTATCTGGACGAGGCACAACCGCTCCCTCGTCGCCTTCGCCAATCGACTCGGGATTTACTCAGCCAGTCATTCCCAAATGGAGTCGCCCGCATGCCGATTCGTCTGCGTCACGTACCTCTTCCAAAGGCAAGCCGGGCATTCGCCATCAACGCCAGCGCAGCAACATCCATTTGTCGGGACCTGGCGTTGGCACTCTCGACCATGATTCAAATGCACCAGGCCCCGCCATGGACGGACTCAGCAAATTCTTTGCACAGCATATGCCGAATCTTGCGCCCGTGGCTCGCCCACCGAATTTCGAAAGCTCGTCGGAAAGTGCGTCGACGGCGGCCGCGAACACACCAACCAGCCTGGACAACCTTGGCGGAGCAGTCGAGTCGTGGGTCAGAAAAATGACAACTCGAGCCAAGGCCAGCTTGAATGAACTGCAGCAGACGCCTGGCCCGGCAACCCATGACCCCGCACAGGCCGTTGGACGACGCGGCAACGGCGATCTCATCGAGTTGAACGACGGGATGGAGTCTCGCAGCTCGTCGAATGCGATCTCCGAGCCTCGGTGGAGACCCGATTTGCTACGGTCGGGATCAAGCCTTCACGAAGGAACAGCGTTGCGGGGGCGTTTCCTCAGCCCTTCACCTGGGACGAGCCGGACTCGTTCTGGAGGGGACAGGGCGAAAGATGATTGATGGGCAAATACGCTCCGAGCGCGCCATCTCCGTGGCTCGGAAGCTTGCTCCTTGATTTGTTGTTTCATAATACTTATTTTTGCTCTTTCGCCCGAGTGCAGTGGTGGCTGCATGTCGGGCAGGTATTTAACTTGGGCGATACCAACTACACGTGTGCACTTGAAGCATAGCACGGCGCGGCGGGGATGCGCCGTCTTATGACTATAATTGATGTGGCCGACTGACTGTTTGGTGTTAGGGATCTTGTGCTAGTCTTGGTTTTCTGTATTTAGAAGAGAGTGCCGGTGGCATTGTGATTGATATAACTAGAGCAAGGCGTGTCTCCATTCGCATCCTCATCGGTCATCCCTTATACCCCGATGGCGCTGAAGGGTGAGATGTGGTGATAGCGAGAATAATATTCTGTGTATAATCTATCCTCCTTGTGCACTGCAAAGTCAGCCGATCAGCTCGTCATCACGATCATCCCCACTCAATCCTCCACTTTTGATCTTTATCCGAGACAAACTACACCCATCTCAATTTCAGCCCGAGTCCATAATCGTCCACCAACACCCCACAGCCAGGGTACAAACCAGGGTCTGTTTTCCGCCGGAGAAACTAGCACTTAGCTTCTCATTAGATCAGCCCATCGCGTCTTGGCTCCTCATCACCAACTTTCCACCTATAATCTGCCATCGACATGCTGCAAAGCCATGACAGCTGCTGGCAGCTGCATGCACCCCAACATTAACCCCGCAAAATACATCCATCCCTGAGTCAATCAAGCTTGACTGTCTTTTATTTCTTCGGAGATACTAACCATGAGCAGTCAGATTATCATTCCAGATGACATCAATCCCACTGATAGACGATCCCATCCTCCTCTATACCATGGGACGCCCCACGTCCATGTAAGAAAAGGCCTAGCTCTGCTCGGCGTTAATCAATTATGATTGCGAGTTTCACTTCCTTAGTCATGTATTATTATTCTTTCTCTCGGAGAATTGATTCAGCTGCTCATTGCCACCCCTAGGTCTCTAATAAAGGTCATCATCACTCGTCTCGTAGCTAGCTAGCTGGCTTCCTCTTCCAGTGACCGAGTCGATTGACAAGCCAGCAAAGTAGCAGCCATGGCGAGCGCACTCCTCTGGCTCTCCCTGCTAGGGAGCAGCACCCTATCTTCCGCTCTAGACACCAGTAATACCCCTACCATTAAGAGAGCAGACACAGGCAGCAGCAGCAACACCACCTCCTCAATCCCAACGGCCACCCTCAACAACACCGTCTTCGTCGGCCGTTCCCTGCCCGAATTCGAGCAGGAGTTGTTCCTAGGAATCAAGTTCGCAGATGAGCCCGGGCGATTCACCCCCTCGACGTTGAAGACTGCCTATCGCGCGAACGACAGCGACAACGGGGTATACGATGCCTCCTCGGCATCAGGGCTGCAGACTTCCTCAGGGACAGTGCTCTACAACGCCACCGAGTATGGGTATGATTGTCCCGGGTACGGATCCGACGAGACAGAGCTGGCGGAGGAGGGATATGCGCGGTTCGACGAGAACTGTATGAATCTGAATGTCATTCGGCCCAAGAGGGAGAACGAGGATGAGTTGTTGCCGGTTATGATTTGGATTTTTGGTGGTGGTTGGGTGCAGGGTGCGACTGCTGATCCGAGGTATGATTTGATTTTCCATGATTGTTGTGTGAGCCGATGCTGATATTGTGCAAGATACAATATGAGCTATATCGTTCGCCAGGGTGCGTTGAACGATAAGCCCGTCTTGGGTGTCTCGATCAATTACCGTGTGGCTGCGTTTGGATTCCTTGACTCTGTCGAGGTCATGGTGCGCTACTACCATCACCTTTTGAGTATTTGACTTTCAGCTGACATGACATCTGTAGGAATCCGGCAACACGAATCTAGGACTCCGTGACCAGCGCGTCGCCATGCATTGGGTTAAGCAGAATATCAAGGCGTTTGGTGGTGACCCGGACAAAATTACCATCTGGGGAGAATCAGCGTGAGTATACCCATATTCCATATATACAACAGCATTTAACATCCATAAATAGTGGCGCCTACAGCGTTGGAGCCCACCTCGTCACCAACGACGGCGACAACGAGGGCCTATTCCGAGCCGGTATGCACCTCACCCATCCTCCAATCCAGTCCACCCACTGACCACCCGCATACTAGCCATCATGGAATCCGGCAACGCCGTGGGACCCCCATACAACGGCACAGACTGGTACCAGCCGATGTACGACCAGATCGTGAACGCAACCAAGTATGCCCCATGCTCCAAGACAACACCTAACCCCCAGTAGTAACAATTGTACTAACTAAATCCAGCTGCACCACCTCATCCAACACCCTCCAATGCCTCCGCGAAGTCCCCTTCTCCACCATCTACACGGCCGCCAACCTCGGCCTAGAATGGTTCGCCACCATCGACGGCACCTTCATCAAAGAATACCCCCAAATCAGCTACACAGAGGGCCGCTTCGCCAAAGTCCCCATTCTCCACGGGACAAACACCGACGAGGGCGTGAGTTTCGGTACGACGGGCGTGAACACTGATGCTGAAGCTATTCAGCAGTTGACAGGTGAGCACCCCCTCCCCCGTTCAACCTCCAAACTATATCTAGTATGATACTAATGTAAAATGATGTGGGAAAGCATCCAAACGCTGGGTCCTAAACGAAACCCAAGCCACGACTCTCCTCTCCCACTACCCCAACATCTCCGCCCTGGGTTGTCCCTACGGATGGGGTAACACGACGTGGCCGAAACTCGGATATGAGTATAAGCGTTACGAGTCGATGGCGGGCGATCTGTGCATGGTTGCTCCGAGGAGATTGCTTTCCCAGAAGATGAAGGAGTATGATGATGAGGGGCAGCAGGTGTTTGCGTATCGGTGGGATGTGGCCGCGTTGAATGATTCGAGTACTATTGGAGTGGCGCATTTTGCGGAGGTAATTACCATCCCAACCGATCCCTTTTATTGAAAAAAACCTTATATATGATATGATGCTGATGATGGTATGTGTATATTGGGATGTATAGATACCATTTGTGTTCGCCAACCCCGTGCAGAACATCACTCCGTTGGGAAGTGATCCATCGAGACTAGAATTGGGTAATTTGGCCGCGAGGATGTGGACGGCTTTTGTGACGGATTTGGATCCGAATGGACATGGTGGTATGTATTCCTTCCTTCTTTCTTCCTCCCCTTCACTTTTCGTATATGCCGTTTATGGTAGTGTTGATATCTGATAATGGTGACATAGTCTCCGGTATCCCCACCTGGCCGAAATACAACCTCTCTGATCCTCAGGACTTTGTGTTCCGGGTACCGCGGAATGAGAGTTACGTGGAGAAGGATACGTTCCGGACGGAGGGGATAGATTATATTAATACGATTGTGCGGTAAAAACCATGATGATATTATCAGCATGATATATAGGGTAGATACTACTATATCAGGGATTAGACTAGTACCATCGACATACACTGTTCAACTACTACTTGGATAAGATAGGAATCCATTTCCTCGACTGATCGATTTGTATTGATCTAGTAAGTAAGTTGAGTAGTAGTAATGTAAAATCGACAAAAAAAGCCGCCGTTTTAAAAACCATTTATTTGATTTGCAACCCTGCTATACTATATGAATAAGTAATAGCTTGGTTGGTTTAGTTGATGCCGAGCAGCTCAACCTCGCTAGTGAGATATCAGTATTCCCTTCTTCAATGACAATGGGGGACAATGATAAAGTGATAGAGGGTAGAAGGTAACTTACAAAACGAGAGTCGAGTTAGGGGGGATCAAGCCGGGGAAACCACGGGGGCCGTAGCCGTAGTCACTGTACAAGATATATTAGAAGAAGACTTCATATTGTTGACTTTTGGGTAGTATATCCAATCCGGGGGATAGAAAAATCCCAAGAGATAGAGAGAAGAAAGAGGGAGGAAAACTCACGGAGAAATAGTCAGGATGGCCTTCTCGCCAACGCTCATCTGGGGGACGGCCTCATCCCAACCTGGAGATTAATTAGTTAGTCCATTTCATCTACTCAAATCTATATATATAGTCAGAGGCGATGAACATACCCTTAATGAGACTACCAACACCGATGGCAGTCTTGAAGGCACCGCGATCACGGGAGCTGTCGAACCTGTTGATTCAATTAAATTAGTATGATGTCAGATTCATTCTCTTTCATTTTCCTGGACCATTCAGAATGTCCATATAGCGAGGTACAGCCACTGCCATGGACATCTACTTTAAAGGCTGGAGAGAGAGAGAGAGAGAAAGAGAGAGAGAGAAGGGGAAAAACGTACTGCTTGCCCATCTTGTTAGGCTTGGACTCATCATACAAGCAACCAGTGTAGTGCATGGAGATCTGATCACCCGGCTTGGGGAACTGCTGGCCGTTGCCAGGGGAGATGATGGTCTTGGTGACACCCATTGTGCTAGATTGATTTTCAGGAAAATGAAATTTGATGGAGAGAGAGAGAGAGGGGAGGGGGAAAATAGAAGAAGAAAAGTGAAGCAGAATGGAAGGTAAAGAGAAAACGAAGAAAGAATCGGGCCAAGTGGGGGCGGGGAGGGGAGAGAGGGTCAGTTGGTTTGATTTATACTTTGGATTGATTTCAGGGCGAGAACCAATTACTACTGAAATTAATTTACTTTGGGTTGGCGGTGTATCTTTTTTACTGCTATTATTATTATTACTAGTATTTCTACAAGAAGAGGGGAGGGTGGCAGGGAGGGGGCAAAAAGGATAAGGTTTGATATATTGGGGGAAAGAGAAAGGGCATGCGATGATGATTGACTGATGATGATGGAAGACTCGCGCCGCCTGTGTGGGTTCGCTTGGCGCGGAAAACTCCAGTTAAGTTACGTTACTACGTTTACTTCACTACTTACTTATTAATTGCCTTCTCGCTGTGGCCTCATTGCCCCCCCGTCTGCAGGTCTGCAGCTAAAAAGTGCTGTTCCAAATGGAAGGGCTACTTGGATAGTACTGGCTGCCGCCTGTGCCGCCTGTTTTATTTATTATTTATCTACTACATGAATTGATTGTCTGCTCTACTAATTAGTATTGTACTTAGCTGGCTGGCTGGCCGCTCATCGACCACTACGGAGTACTTCATCAGTAATCAATCCATCAACATCATCAATCATTCACATTTATTTCTTCCCGTGTGATATCTCAATGGGGAAAAGCAAAAAACTAAACCTAACCAACTGTCAACGCATGCAACCCCAATCCCCGTGCATGTGATGCATCCTGTCAACTCCCCCCTCCCCTCAAATCAATTCATGACTTCGTGGCTCTGCTCCATTCCTTACCCCCAAAACGACATCTTCT